AGGTTTATGTCCGCTCAAAGCATAATGTCACGTCAGATATACAATTTATGATTATGTTCCAACGATGGTTTCAGAGCAGAATCTCGGACAATAAAAGACAATTGTATTTCAGAATGAAAGTTTCATTTTTCACATAGGGTTGACAGAYGGGTCAAAGTGGGAAATGAGGTTTTACAAGTCACATAAATTACCTTCTGATGGTGAGACGGATCAAATTCAGAACTCCTGAAGGGAAAATGTTTTTTTATGAAACAGATCTGTAGTTGTGTCTCAGCCTTTTACAAAAACTCAGCAAATATGTTTGAGCCAAAAGGAGCCACAGCAGAGATAAAAAGATTATCTTTACAGCCATACAGCTCAATATGTACCTGGAACATGCTTCACCTTATAGTATGTGTCAAGTACTAATTTGAATATTTTACACCTAACATGAAACATATTCTGATTTTCATCTATTCATCCTCATTAAAAAGGCTCAGGTACACAATTAGGCCAGAATTTATAACTTGGTCCAAGAAGGGCCAATTTCTGTCAATGTTTACTGGAAAAATGTTACATAAATTATTCTTACAGAACTAACAGTGTTTTTCTATAATTGTAAACCTTTTTTGTTTGAAAGAGACATGAGGAAAACTTCAAAAGGATTAATCAGTTTTTTTTAAAGTGCATCGGGAGGAGAGAGGAAACAAATGGGCTGATGAACAGATCAATTGGACAAATAGTAAATAAGATTAATGCGAGGAGACCGTCACCTGTCATCTGTCCCGGTGGAACAAGACAGTGACCGACTGTGACAGGTTACCAGACCAGGACTGTGGAAAGCCCCGTCTCAGGTTGTCGGCTCAAGACACAAATATCCCCACAGTGACGGGAATTTATGACAACAGTGATGCGGCTGGGGGATCGGTCACTTCACCGGGGACACAGTTACAGAGTCTGCTGCCTGGAGGCAAACAAGCGWTGGATGACAGACAGCCTGCCGAGGAGGAGAGAGGAGCGGCCGGCAGAACAAACTGTAAATTCAAATGTAGATAAAATGATGAGTGCTGTTAACCAGGTGGAAAATACTGAAGATGAGTTTACGGTGTTTGGGTGGACTCCAGTTTAGTTTGAGATGTTTTTAATGATTCACCTTTTTTTAGAACTAAAATATATTGTATCTTATGATTAAGATAAGTTAATTAAGGTGTTGTGTTATGTATTGTCCCAAATTAATTAATCAATTAATTAAAATTGCTCTTGTCTGGCTTCAAAGCCTTTTGCATCATTTCTGATTTGTCTGACAAAAGTGTAGTTTAGACTTCTTTCATATTTTATTCTTGATTTTTTTGATCAAGAACAGAGTATAGAGAGAATAGAGTGCTGAATGAAGGAGTGTGTGGATGGGTAAACAAGGACACAGATCGTAGTGTAAAGCACTTAAGGTGCTATAAGCACGGTCCATTTACTGACTGGTAATATTTTAATAAACAGAACGCTTGGACCCTTCACCATAAACATTAAGACTATCGATTCATGTATACATAGGGGGGGAAATTATAGGTTTTTGGACAATGAAGTGATAGAAGTGGATGACCTGACAAACACTGCATTTCATTCAGAAATACTCAAACATAAACTTTAACATTTAGCAAAAAGAAAAAAATAAGTAGGTCCTAGAGGGTGTACATAGAGGGTGTATTAGCTCTRTTGTACAACAATAGAGCTAATGAAGCCTATTGTTAAACAATGGTCCTCTTTTGCATGTGACTGACCTCTTTGTCCACCATGTGGAGGCAGTTCTTGTAAGGCTGAGTTCACCTGAAACTCATCAGACTGAAGAAGTCTCTTGGAGGAGAGACGAAACGTTTCACTAAAGAAGAACCCATCCAGAGGACCTACTTATTTTTACTTTTTGATTTTTTCCTACCTGGATTACTGAGATGCATCAGGACATTTAACATTTAGCCACAACATTTAACGATTAACTTTTACATTTAGATTTAGGATTTAATATTTACATTTTATTAAACATTTAAAGTTAACATTTGGTAAAAATAAGTTAAATGCAAGAACAGTGAGCTAAATAACAAAATGATAGTGGAAAAWTTTTAACACTGTATTAGTGACATTTAATTTTACACTTACACAACGAAGGGAGGGGGCTTCGGCCAAAAGATTTAAAAATTCTGCACTACTGACTTTATTTTTCACTTTCTTTGTGAGAAATGAAGTTAGTGGTGCATCAATGCAAAAGGACTGTCATCACGCTAATATTGATCATTGATCAAGTGAACTTTGCTCACCTTTGTATCAATAGATTTTTATACGCCCACCCTTAGATGGCATTTGGAGACAGGCAGTGGTGTACAGTAACAAAGTACATTTACTTGAGTACTGTACTTTTTGAGTTATCTTTACTATACTTGAGTAATTATTTTTTGGGGGAATTTATGACTTTCACTCCCACTACATATCAAAGACAAATATTGTACTTTTGACTCCACTACGTTTCTAGAAAGCTTGTTAGTTATTCTTTCCTTTTGGTTCAGCATAGCTTCGTAATCAGCTGTTGCTGTTTTTCTTTCTTGAAATGCWATTGGCCACACGCTATGTTCCTTACAAAGGAAACGAATCACAGTCATAGCTCACATTTGGAATTACGTCATCTTCGATAACGTTCGCGAGCTGAACCTGTGCTCCCTTCATTTCAAACAGAACCCAGCAATGGAGATGGTTGAAGAAAGCCAAGAAACCAGTGCATCCATGGCCATATAGGACTGAAAAATAGTTTGTATCAGTTTGAAACCCTTCTGTGTTCACCGCAGATAAACTACATTTCTGCCTTTAAGAACTCACCACTCACTTAATTGCATTTTTATGCTGAAGTCTTTACAGGTGGTGCAGAATTTATAGCAGACTGGTTCTTGTCAATACATCAGGTGGTTTCTGAGAGTTACAAGGTTCAGTAAAATCACTCTGAAAACAACACAGCTGTACTTTTGTACACTGAATATTTTAAATGTATGTACTTTTGAATACTTAAGTATTTTCAAAAATAAATATTTATACTTTAACTTGTGTAGATTTTTGTCTGAGCAACTTTTACTTGTAGTTGAGTAGATTTGACCATGAGTATCAATACTTTTACATAAGTACTAGAGTTGAGTACTTTGTCCACCACTGGAAACAGGTAATGTTGTGAGTAATTTTGACTAAAATGTAAATCCATGTCGTTATGGATCAGTTAGTTTGAGGTGGGACATGTGAAACATGTTTAGAGAGCACAAAACAAGAACAAAACCTGTATCTTTATGTGATTCTGACTCTTCAGCCGACCCCACAGTGAGCTCTGAGTAGCTCTGATTCAATCTGGCCTCTCTCTGCTCCACCCTGTTGCTTTTAGGATGCAGAGATAATGCTCATTAGGAGAGACGGGTGGGGACTTTGGGTGGGCTAATGCTTGTGCGATTTTAAGTGCAGCTGTAACAGAGCGTGATGGGAGGATAATACAATCTGTCTGAAACGGGAGCTTTGACTATTTGTTTATGAACATAAGAACTGTGAAAATGTCTCTAGTGAATGAGTGAGGCTCAGGTTCAGCTCAAAGTCAGACTTTTCACCTTGTATTGATTGTCTGAACTGATCCATAAGTCTTTAAAATTAGCCCAAAAAAATGCTTTAAAAAGTCTTCTCTGAAAGAAAGGTTTTCAAATGTATTGGCAAAAAAATACTGCTCAAGAAAAAGTACAGGCTATTTTGGAAAAATAATTGTTGAGGGAAACATTTTGAACAAATTCATGAAGACACTGGGAATCCTCGCAAACGTTTTGAGATATTTTGGAAACACTTTTGTGAACGTTGTCGCAATTTGTCACCAAAAGTTGCAGCCCAGTGAGAAATAAATTGTTATTGCTCTACTTTTTGCATCTTTTTTTCCCTTTGCTCCCTTCAAACATTTCAATACAGCAGGGGTTCTCGAGCCATTTGGGTCGTGGGGCCTCTTACAAGGGCAAWAAATAAATAAATAAAAAATTCCAGGGACCCCCTCATAAACCCCATGCTGTTTTAAAAGATAATTTATTGTCACGTCAACCCCTAAATGCCACGGGAATATATATTTTTGATTAAGTTTATTATGTTTGTTTTATTAGTTCATTGTTCTCCATGCATTTTTAAAAATAAAAACCAAATGAACAATTTAGTTAMATTTTTTGAGGACCCCCAAGATACCTCTCACAGACCCCTKGGGGTCCTCRGACCCCAGTTTGAGAACCTCTGCAGTAAAGACGTTTGAATCTGCAATCTGTGTGCCTCATTCAAATCTTCTGCCACCAAATTGTGAAACATCTTTTGAGTTTTAATCAACAGTCAAATTAATATTGATCATTTGCTGCTGATCTGTGATCCTCATTCACACCAGATGCTGATGTTTCAGTCTTTATACAGCTTTTTGGATTGATCCCTAGCTGACCCTGTAAAAAAAAATGGACAGCTGTCCCATATTTTGTGTTGTTGGCCAATTATTCTACTTTAAATCCAATGAGAAATCAGTAGTTTTTCACTTGTCTTCGTAGCCTTGTTGATGGAGAAACCAGCYGGGCAAGAACCTTTTCAGCTTTTCACCCACAAAATAACCACAGCCGACGTTTGAGACCTCGACTTATTTGGGTGGAAGAATCGCAAAACAATCATCTGCATCAACCATAATCTCTGTGTGTGGTTACACCTTTTTATCTCTTACAATTTATGGTAAAAACATCTCATTTTAATATTTTATTCAGCTTTTGGAAATCATCTCAAGAGCCCCAAATTGGTGTCACAAACCCAAACTTTGGGAGCCAATAATAAGGCCTTTCTTGATATTGTGTTTTCTCACTGAGAATTAATCTGAGATTAAGTTTTCTTTTTAGTTTAATTAGCAACCTAAATTAAAAGTTGAGGTTAATAATTAGTTTTTGAGGGGACTGGTTTCAGGGACTCCTGAGTGGGGGGAAAAAAAATCTTCACTTGGGGGGAGGAGTAGTTGTGGGGGTGGGGGTTCTCTGTAATCCCCCTCCTGTTTGTTGACATGTTCTGAACCGAACTGCAGCCCGCAGGGATGAAGGCAGAAGGAGATGTGAGGAACCAGGGCGCTTTAATCTGAACAGAATGGCCAGTTTGGGAATATCAGAATCAGCGTCTCTCTAGATGATATTTCACAGAAACATTTTTTTAAGCTTTCTAAGAGGAGGAGGACTTTGATCTGCAGTGCCGGGGTTTTCTCTGCGCGCAGTCCCAGCATCAGGACCCGCGGAGGAGTCTGTGCGCTCTGGCACTACAAAAACCAAAACCAAACCTCCAAACCTCCTCATGTGTTTGCTCAGGTATCAGTCTGTGCTCCTCTGCATGCTGCTGCCCCCCTCCTCCAACCCCTGCGGGATGAAACCGCTGTAGAACGCGTCGAACCCCGCGCGCGCGCGCAAATCCCCATCCCAAAGATCGTCTCCTGCTGTGAGTTGTCCAGCCTGGAGGGGAGGAAGACATGGAAGTCCCGGTGAAAACGGCGCTGGCTCTCCTGGTTCTCGCCGTGGCAGGTGAGTTAAATTTCCCCTCAAATGACCTTCTCAGGTACGTGTTTTAGAAAAGAACAAAATCTCTTGGATTTGTGTTTGAAAACTATGACGTTCAGGTGCAGTTATTTTATTTATTTATTTTTATAATTTGGGAAAATTGCAACTCACCACACTGTTTACTCACCTGCATGCAGACCACGTGTTTGCCCCCAACTAACTAACTAGTCTTTAATCAGAGCCCACAGAGTGCTGGGGCTGATTTTAATGAGAAGTTTTGCTTCACACATGTTCAGGGGCGCCTATAAGGGGTTTAAAGGGGTGGCCACTGGGGTGGCACACTAAAACTAAATTTAAAAAGACCATCTTGGCAAGATCTGTTAGCACTCAGAGTATGTTAGGATGACTCTCAGAAACTACCACACCATTTAATCGGATTGCATTGGTGGTAACATAACTACCATATTTCATTATATATATATATTTCTGAAAGTCAAAGGATTGCATTTCTTTAAAAAGGAAAAGACGTGAATTATGTTTATGTTTTTTTTGTGCAGACAGGAGACACACTAAAAGTCACATAATGAGTTTTCTTTTAAATGCTTTCAGTTTTGAACTTTTATTTTCTTTAAAAGAGGCTTTAGGAAATACAGTCACCATGAAGTAGTGAGGGAACCCTGACACCCTGTCTGTTAGCAAAATACCTCATGGATTTTAAAGGGGACATTTCATGCAAAATCCTCTTTTTTAGCCATTAAATGTATTTTGTTGTATTCTTGGAGTCGCTAGGAGTGCAGAAATTTAAAATTTAGTCTGTCCTGGTGTTGCAAAAATATCTATATATCCTTTATATTTTCCAACCCATTCAGATATTTCTATTTCTATGACATTTTCTGAACTATTACGTTACACTATTTGCGACGGAACGGCCAAATAAGTTCTGGAATTACCAAATACAATTTGGCCGTCTTCATTCTCCTCTGGCTCTGGGGTCAGACTTTGGCTCCAACATGTACGGATGGATGGACAAGTCTTCTGTTGACGGCATATTTTAATCCATTTGTGAATAAAACATTTCTGTGCAGCTAGATAACCGCAAACCCCCTCTAACAAGATAGAATGAACTGGTCTGAAAGCTGGAGGGGGGTGGGGTGTAAAAGGCCTACTTTGGCTTTTAAGAGACAGCCTCAAAACGAGTTGATCTGAGACACGTCTGTGAAAAGGGGTGAAAGAGGGGCTTGTGGAGTTATAATAAGGAGGAATTCAGACCAAAGCATTGTAGCGCCACTTTATATAGAGCCCAACTGAWGGGTTTAAATGTGAAAAGAAGGATTTATGTCTCCTTTAAAGAAACTCTCAGAAAGTAGAGAGAAGAACTTTTGGACTTATATAAATGAACATGGCCACCAGAGCTAATCAACCYTARCCAACCCCCAAAATAAGTCAGGTAATTTTACAGATAATGAGACAAAATTTAACACGATATTCACTGAGAGGTATTCAAAACACACATGCTGACTGTACAGTAAGATCTTGCACTAAAATTTGGCATAATGTTATTATTTATGAAGTTCAGTGGTCAGTGTCTTTTAATCCTGAGGCTGCAGGTTCGAGCCCAGGTTGTGTCATGACGGCATCCCATTGATGTAAAACATTTGCCAAATCTTTCATGCCGGTTCACTTGCTGAGGTGAGCCCAGCAGAAGAAAACCTTATCTTAACTCGTGTCAGCACAAGATATTCTTAGTTTAAAATTCAAACGTAAAAGGCTGTAATTTCCATGAATAAATCATTCTTATATGTGCTCTGTCTGCTGCTGAATCATTGCATAAATTTAGCTTTTAATATCGCAGCCAAACAAAGAGCTGCGTTTGAACCGTGTCTCTTGTTTTATCTACCTCCATCTATTTGTTGCCACATTTTTCAGTAAGAATTTTGGCATTTAGGCTTTTATCTGGTCATTTTAAATGATCGTGTTTTTCTGTCTTATTGGTTAATGTCTACAGTATGCTGCAGTTTTAAATCCAAACTTCATGAACMGTGGGCTACAATTTGCAGGATTCTGCACCAGTTATTTCCAAAGAGGCTGTTCATCATGACTGGGGAAAAAAGCACCCCTCTCTTAAGTGTTTTGAAAAAAAAAGAAGAAATTGTTTGGATGCTGTTTTGTGAAACAGGCAGGGCAAGAGAGGGGCCAGTTCCCATTTCAAACAGAAGGTGTGCATCAGGCACCACAAACCTGAAGCATCAGCTTCATGTAAAAGGACCAGAGAACAGAGGAAGACCATTTCGATCTCCCAGGATTTTCTTGTCTTTTCTTTTACGTAAACCTGCAAATGTTTCAGTCACTCCTCATTAGGAAGGAACAAAAGAGTACAGGAAGTGTCATGAGAGAGTTTGGGATTTTTTAAAAAGGACATTTTCTGACAAAGAAAAGATTGGGACCAACAAAGAACCTGTCAGATTGAAGCATTATATATATATA